GGGTGGGTGGGTGGGTGGATGGATGGATGGATGGATGGAGATCTTCTCCACCGCGCGCCTCAGTACATTGTACTACTGAGAGATTAAGCGTCATGAACAAGTAAAGCTCACCTGGAATTCCCCGTGACCAGGTAAATAGGCCGGGGTTCCCCGCTGTTAGACTACGACATTATAAGCTTTTGTGAGGCCCGTAACATGAATCCACCAGCTTTGTGTATACATTTTGTAGTACCGCATGAGTCACCACGTACACGCACAATGCTGCTAAACTTGACATATCGTGGATTTATCCCATATCGTGAGGGGGTGGAAAATCTGGGGAAAAATTAAATAGCTCTTTGTTATATTCTCAAGTTCACCACGGCAAAATCTCCCGAAGTTTGTTGAACCCATAGGCATTGCATACTCTACTTCTGGATAAAATAGCTTGTAAGCGTCATTGATATGTCTAACGTTCATCAACGTTAGTTCATAAAAAGGGACCAGAGGCACAAGATTTCGCATTCCACTTTTTTTCACTCTAACAGATCTAATGTCTCGTGTATACCAAATTTTTTCTACTAAGTTAAACAAAGTTTATCTCGCGAATGAAACGTTCAGTGAATAGTAAGGCTTTACAAAAACCATAAATCCACAATTTTATTAACTTCAAACACCACTTTAAAACAACTTTAGAGCTCAGTAGTTTCTCTACACTCTCTAAATAGCCGATTTCAGGCTAAATCGTATTTTCTGTCCCGTTTAGTGCTCATGTCACATTACGTTCACTGTGAATTCTGTCCCACACTAGAATGTATCTAACCTGTATCTTGATTGAACACCGGAGCTCCCACACGGTGCAGAGCAGGAGGACCAGGCACCCCAGCCCCCCCAGCGGCAGTGGACAGGCGGCGGTGGTGCGCGGCGGCGGCGGCGCCGACCCCAAGCTTGCGACTCTTGGACAAGACAAACCACGACAGCGAACACGAACAGGACTCCTGCCCACCGCATCTTTACACCTGAACTTATTAGGAGTTCTGTCACGAATACTGGCTACATGGAATGTCCTTTCTATGCGCAAACGCCTCTGACTACTTTGGGTCAAGCCCGTGATTAATATAGTTAGGGATTTTTCATTTCCTTCTTCCTTGTCAGGGTTGTCAACAAGTACTCCCCTTGCGCTTTACCTGGAATCCCCCTCTATATATGGTTCTATTGTTCAATGTACTTAGACCCTGTATAGGGCCCCGTCAAGTGCTTTTGTTAGGATGTAATATTACACCACTTGACTCGGGGAACGCTGGCGTCGTATTACTGTTAACTTTGTTCAGACTGTTGTGGCACTCGCTACCTCCAGTGTCAGCGTTGCGCAAGACTCTCTCGTCTTATACTCCAAACACAGGTTTAGGCTTCGGCTCATTTTTGTATTTTTGACGTGGTTTTACGTTTTACGGGGCCCCGGGCTTTCTTTTAAAATTTTCGTACTGGTATCTTTTTCTACGCTAAATAAACGGCAACTGTCTGGCCAATTTGATAGTCTTGCAGCCACCAAAAGATCTGCCTATAGAGATAAGCCTTTTCTGTCAGTGCAGCGCCGTGTCTTAAGTTCATGATCACTCTACAGTCGCGCGTCACGTCAAAGGGCAGTAAAAAAAAGCCCGTCTGGCGAGTCTGCAAGGTTAAAAATGGCATTTTCGTCCAATGTGACATTGTAGATTTTCAGGGTAAACAACACCACAAATCACCAAAACGCATGAGAAAAGAAAACGATATATTTCATCCATACCATGGTATGGAGTGAAATACAACTATTAGTATTCATGCAGTACTAGTCAGTCATCTTCGCACGCCTAATCTCCGAGCAGATTCGGTGGGGCAATGGGACTTTATGGCGGCCAATGGATACAGGCGGCCAACATAAAGTCCCCTTGCCCCACCGAATCTGCTTGGAGATTATACTATAATCTGAGAAAACAGAATACAAGTTAAATCGCAAATCAAAGTTCCTCCAGCAATGTCGGATTGATCACACTTTAATAAAGTAGTCAGTACAGGTATCGAAGCAGAAAAAACCTTTGGATGCAAGATATAAAAAGTCAGGGTAGTTCTTTGCACTGACTAAACAATGTATGTTTTACGGTTTGGCCCTTAACGACTTTTTTGTCGTCATCATCCAACTTACATTATGTGTGAGCACAATGTATCTAACCTGTATCTTGATTGAACACCGGAGCTCCCACACGGTGCAGAGCAGGAGGACCAGGCACCCCAACCCCCCCAGCGGCAGTGGACAGGCGGCGGCGGTGCGCGGCGGCGGCGGCCACCGCCGAACCAGGCTTGCGAGTCTTGGGCAAGGTAAACAAGTAGAGCGAACACAAGGAGAAATCTTCCCCACAGCATCCTTTCGCACTGTTTCAAAGTTTCAGAACTGTTGCGAAAACCGAGTGGAAGTTGTGGCAGAAAAATCCTCTGAACGCTGCTGGCGCGACGTTTGATGAATCCTGCGTTTTGTTTATACTCTCTCCTTCCTTGTCAAGCTTGGCGTCAACTTTTATATACCAGCACTCCAGCGAAGGTTACCTGGAATTACTGGCCTGGTACAAAGAAATGTGGTTTTAACCCTGAGTTAACTAGAGTTCTACGAAGTGCCTTTGTAAAGCTGTAAGATGACACCGATTTAGATATGCCTTGATCATGTTTGTCGCAGTCAATAGCTTTGGGTAACAATAAGACCAAGTGCACACGTCTGGGTGCAACATGATCTCCTATACAAGCAACGTATACAGTCACAAGTGCAGTGTACCGTACATGGACACCTCATGTAGTAATGTATCTCTAGTCCCATGACATGTCTCAAACACGCACATCACTGCAAAAAGTCCAAACTTAAAGCACGCCTGAAAGCATCCGTAAAGGTGTCGTTTCTTTCTGGGCATGAAGCATGATTTTCACCGCCCAAAACTTCTCTCCCCGGCAAACTCCCTGGACGGCAAAACCGTCTGTCCGAGGCATAACTCGCGTCGACGTCGCTCCCCGAAAAAAAATTACGCCGCCGCCCCGCAAGCCTGCAAAGATTTGCACTACTGTGGTAAAGATCCATTCTGTTAACGGCTTATCGGGAGAAATGCGCTAGTGCCAAATCTGTGACTTGGTTTTTAATGGAACTTATAAAACGTGCTTATAGATATAACAGACAAATCGTTTGTCTATTTCTGCTTTTGTTCAAACGATTTGGGATATATACTGCAAATAGACACTTTTACTTGAATGTAGCGCCAGTTTTCAGGTTGTGTACAAAATACGCCCAAAATATATTTGTTTACTTCCGTCAGTCAGAACATTGAAGATGCTAAGAACAACGATTTGACATTGCATACAAGATATCAGCTAGAGAATAGCAAGAAGAACATATCTGACCTTGTCCTTGTGCGGGTTCCAGAGTTCCCGCATGAAGCCGAACAGGAGCTCCAAGTGTTCCAGATCCCCCACGCGCAGTGCCTGGGAGGTGTGTAGCGACGTCGCCGGCGGCGCCTACGCTGCTGACCACGGTCCTCCTACGCTGCTGACCACGGTCCTCCTACGAGTGCTG